TTAAGTGACTAAAATAATAAAATTATGAAAGTGTACGTCTCATGCTTTTAGACTTTTAGTATTTCATCCGATTTAAAGACATTTTCGTAACTGCTTTGAAATCGCACCTCCAAACACTACCCCCTTAATATGAATTCTTCTGTGTTTTTAACATGAAGAACATAAGTAGCACAATGTAAAAGGTACCTTATGCACGACAGCAAATGCCGCTTGAATCGGGGTCATGTCTTTATAAGGTAGAGCCCCAGCCACCATCTCCCATAAAATGAGTCCAAATCCATACACATCTACCTTCCGATTATACGGCTTCTTTTTAATCATCTCAGGAGCCATCCAACGATAAGTTCCTGGATCATCCACTACCACTTCACAATGCCCCTCCTCACAACCTATCCCAAAATCGGCAATTTTCAATTGAAAATCTTGTGTGAGGAGTATATTTTCAGGCTTCAAGTCCCTATGAATAATCCCTTGCGAATGAACATACTCCATTCCACGAGCAATGTCTAAAGCCATCTTAATAATCTTTTCGAAAGAAAGAATCTCTTTGTCTTTTATGGTTTTGTCCTGAAGATTATGCAAGTATCCCCTCAAGGAACCCTTTGAAAGATACTCGGTGATAATAAAGAAAACCGGTGGTTTTTTACATGCGGCTACGAACTATCATCACCAAAAGGAAACAACATGATTTGAATAATAGCCACTCAATGGTGGGAAAAATGTAAAATTTGATGTAGAATAGATTGAAGAATTGATAGGTATTTATGGATAGTGGGAACATAGTAAATGCTGCATGAGAAAGCATGGAAACTTCAAAATCCACGATGGGGCGCATGTTCCCATGTTTTTGCCATGTTCTCACAGTTCCATAAAATTTGTTGTTCAATTCGGTTTGTTATGGAAGGCTCAAATGTGCATGTATGCAACCTCAGATAAAACTCATTCTAAGAATAAAATATGCAACATTGTAACTGAGAATCAATTATCTCATGAGTGACTCCTTTTAATTGCATATCTGTATATGTAATAATGTTTAATAATCTCACTTTTTTACTTAGGTTCTACAACAATATTTTTTTTTATCAACTTAAGCAACAATATTTCACCTTTTTACAAATTCATGCAACAATATTTCACCTTTTAACCGATTTATGCAACAATGTTTTACTATTTTACTGGGTTTATGCAACAACATTTCACTCTTTTACTAATTCATATCAATTATGCAACTACGTGCCAACCGACAAACACGTTTCTAGTAAAATATTGTATGTATGGTTTTAAATATGAAATGTAGTTGTATATTTCGTATAAAAGAAGTGAAACTGAATATGAAAACCTTCAAAATTTTGGAATTTATATACCTTAACGACATTTTGGTGGCGGAGACGAGATAAAAGAGCGACTTCGCGAACAAATTGATTCTCTAATCGAATTCCTAGTTTTTTATTTTCATCTTCATCTCGCACTTTAATAATTTTAATTGCAACCTCATCCTCCTTATAAACTCCACGATAAATTTGACTATGGGCCCCATGAGCAAATCTAAACCTTAGAAAAAGTTTCGAAAGATCAACCAAACAATTATCATCTATGTCCAAGGAAGTAACTCTTCCTCCAACACATTCAAATAAGTTCGACCACGAGGGTACCCTTTTCCTTATTCTTTTGCCATAAAGCTTCGTTGAATTGAAGCGTTTGAGAGATGGATTACAAATTAAAGGAGACCTCAAGTCAAGCATTGTGTTTCTACGAACTAATGAGTTCCCTTTATAATCGTGTTTGCTTTCTATTCTTTCAGGTTGTGGAGTTGAGAATCGCTTTGCATTAGACCTTGTTTCCCTAAAGGCGTCGATATCTGAAATCTTGGGAGGTGGGCTTAGAGCACCATGCTTGTTCTTATGCGAATTTGTCTCGATACCATTGTCACTAGGTCCTTGGTCTTTATCAAGAAGCTCTTCTGAAGGTCTAGATTGCATACCTGCGATTCGATTTAATGGGATTTAGGCTAATTTGTGAATGTCAAAATCTTGTTCGTGTTAACCATATTCAACTACAAAGCAAACTACCCTAGTCTTCTTCATTAAGGCCATGTTTTTTTTTCTTGTTGTATGGATAAATGATACCATGATTAAAAAATATTTGGGATATTACGGCACCCTTAGGGAATGGAAGTAAAAGATAAAGGAGAGCAAATGTGTACAAATTTATGACTAAAAATGTTTGAGAAAATTGGGTAGAAATTTTGAAGTACAATGCCATGATGAAAAAAAACCCGAAAATACAATGCTTAAATAGAAAGAAATGGAATTAGGATGTTTTAATTCTTATTAGTAACATATATACAACCCTTCAATAATCAGTTTTATTATGTTTAGTATCAAACCGATCATAACCACCATATGTTATCTCATATAGATAAAATGCATGGTGACTTCTAGCTTTGATCAATTCAGCATAAATCAAAGCATTGTATCTCAATCAATTTCATAAATGTAAACAAAACCTGGATCTCAATTCTCACCCAATCTTTCGATTGAAAAAACAGAGATTTTCATCCATCAAAGCCTGAAAATTTCCACACATAATAAAAGGAGTATTTAGCATCATAAATTAAGAAACGACATTGCAAACCTCATTATTAACAAGAGAAATGTGTATATCAAAACAATCATAGATCTACAATATAAAATTAAATAAAGCAACAAGAACTTACAAAAAGGGCATGTGTGATTTGATGTCCTTTAAAAGAACGTGAAACCAAAAACATAAACCTTTCTCTTCTTTTAATGAAAATATTTGTCTCAATCTCTCTTCTTCTCTACCATCAAGAAAAAATTTAGGGTTGGAGAGAAAACAGAGGATGAGAGACAAATTTAAGAATGTACGCAGATTCTTGCTACTTTTATTCAAAATTTATACAGAATTAGAGGAAAACAACAAGAAAATTACAAAGAAATGTTAATAAAAAGGTGTAGAAATGATTTGGGTAGACTTTTGAGGAAGGGGTTCTTGAAATCTTATTTGTGGTCAACGTAAATAAACAACCTCAGATAAGTCGAATCTATGTACTCCCATCCTTTTCATTATATATCAAATTCATATTTTATATAAAAATCACGTTTTAAGAAAGACAATTATTTTAGAATTAAGTTATTTTCTCACAAATCCTTTCCTAATAAAGACAAGATGATAAAAGTATATCTTTTAATGAATGAGATAATTACTTGAGAGGGTAACGAACTTTCAACTTTATTCACGTTTAGTCATTGAATTTTTCCGTGCTTGATTTAACCCTGAATTATTTGAAATTGTTCACATTTTACCCTTATAAGCGGTCATAAGGTAAAATGTGAACAATTTCAAATAATTTATGGGTAAATCAAGCACGAAAAAAGTTTAATGACTAAATGTGAACAAAATTGAAAGTTTGCTACCATTTCAACCTTTATCTTGTAAATGATTCTAAATGTTATTAAGAATAGACACTGAATATGAAGGTTACAAAAGTGAGGATGTTGTAGTAATCATGTGATATACCTTTATTGTGTAAGGTAGAGGAAATAACACTTAGAAATACAATAGAAGCGATTTTAATTACATAGAAATTGAAGAAACAAAGATTGTGGTGGTTTTAGACATATAATTAGGACAGGTAACGGTTTTCACTCTACAAGGTGGAAACAGTCGTTGTAAATCATGCGAGGAAGAGAGAGAACATATGATAAAGAAGCGTGAAAATAATGCAATGTTAAATTTGAATGAGATTTTTCTCTTTACAAGGACACGAGCTTTGATTAGAGCGTGTGGATGCATAAGATCAAGGTTGTAGAGTAGTATATGAGTAGTCTAGGTGCTAGTTGCCTTTACATTGTTTGTGCATTTTGCCTAGTTTTCACTGTTTTTACTTTCAACTTGTATTGTCGATACTTTTCTTCCTAATTATTACTTGTATCTATCTTTTCTATTTGTATGTTGGTTATATATGTACCTTCTCACCATGCTCCCTTTGATTTTCGATCTATTTCTCGTTTTATTGCTCGTATATGTGTATTTTTGCCTTTGTGAAACTCCACTAATTATGTCTTCTTTGTGGGTTAGCGTTTCATTTATACGTGACTAAAGAAACTTTAGTTAAAAGTTTATCTTATTGACTGATTAAAGTAATGAACTACAACATGCTTATGTGATCCTTACAAACACAACACAAAGCAAAATAAACTAAAGGATGATTACAAAAATGGATAATGACTTGAAAAGGTAACAAATTTTCAACTAATTAATATTTAGTTACTCATGAATTATTTGAAATATTCACATTTTACCCTTATGACTGGCTTGCAACCGGCATAAGGGTAGAATGTGAACAATTTCAAATAATTCGGGAGTAAATCAAACACACATAAAAAAATAAAAAATCAGTGATTAAATATAAACAAAGTTGAAAATTCATTACCCTCTCAAGTCATTATCCCTTAATTATTAAACTACATCCATAAGGTTTGTTCTTAATCTTCACTAATACTAAAAATCTTAAATGCTATATTTGTTTGTATACAAGTAATACCTTAGGTGATACTAATACCATCTACACCGGTTTGTAACGAACTAGTTTTTCAATTGTCTAATCATCTATTTGTAGTTGTGTGCAATAACAATACTTTTTCAAAATTATCTCACTTACAAAACGACTTCTTTAACTAACATCTTTTTATTTATAATTATTAAATTAAATATCCGTTAAAATAGCTTTTATTATTACAATTAATAAAAATCTAAGAACATATTCAATTTTTGTTGTTCGATTTGTAAGTGAGATAATTTTGAAACCTCCAATTCCACAAACAAATTTCATCATTTTCAAAAACATTATGCGAATTGAAAAACTAAAACAATAAAATTTTCATAATTTACACCTCAAAAATGCCTCTACACAATGTTAATGTTGCCTATAAAAAATATAATTAAAACCAAAAAAAAAAAAAAAAAAAAAAAAAAAAAACTTGTATAGCTCAAGTAATTGATGTTATGATCAATACTCTTCATCATTATACTCATTACCATCATAATCATACTCATAACCACTCATTTCCTGTTCATAATTCCATTCATCATTATTATCTTCTTCTCCCTCCCCATCATCTCCCTTCCCTAATTCTTCCCCCTTCCCATCCTCCTCATCCTCAACACGCTTCTTTTTTGGACTCGGCTGCAACAACACATCAAATTTTTTTTTATATATAAAAAAAAAAGAAAAAATAAAAGAAAAACAATCTTTGATAGTTGTTGAGATTTGACTAAGTCAAGTTCTCATTAAGACCCAGATAGATGCATATCAAACAGTCTGAATCTGACCTAACCCAGTAAGAGGTAAGAATATCAAACGGCCACTATGTTCTAACTTTCACAAAAAGCTCATTTTAGTTTTTACATAGGGAGAAATGCTAACATGAGCCACTTTCAATTAGAAGAAATAGATTACCTCATCATCAAAGAGACTATTCATTGCATCATAATTGATTTTTGAACTTAGCTTCTGCAACAATATTTATAGGTGAAAAGAAATGTAAGTATGTTGCTATTATTTGGTATTTCCAAAATTACCCTCATACATATATCAATATAAAAAGAACAAAACCTTCTTGGTGAAAAGTTGACTAGCAGCTTCTGCAGCAGATTGGGCAGGCTTAGCATTCTTAGCTTCCAATGCTCGTCTTTTTTTGTCTTTCTGGTTTCACATTAAACAATAATTCATGAATATTACAAGAAAAATACCATTTATAAAAAAAAAAAAAAAAAAAAAAAGTTACCTCTCTTTTGCTAGCAACAGCTTCAGCTGCAGCAGCAGCAAGTACTTGTGCTTCCCGAATTTCCTCTGAAGTTCCTGTATAAAGCTTACGTGCAGCTGCAGCTGCAGCTTCTTTAGCAGCTTGCTCCTAAAAAAAATATATTATTAATATTATTTCTTTTTTAATTTTTTAAGATAATTATTTAATTAATTGGTTTTAATTTTGAATTTCACCTGCATGTACTCTTTGTTCATCTGTTCCCATATTATCTTCTTAAACCGGCTTTCTTCCTCATTGTTAAGGTAGCAGCTCACCTACACCATACAAAAATGGTTAAATTACAAGAATAGTCCCTGTGCTTTACACAAAATCGCAAGTATGGTCCGTTTTTTTAAATCTTTCCAGTTTCTTCCAGGTAAAATGACTTTTTTTAACTTTTTTTATTTCACAATATGTAAATTTTTTAATAAAGTCCTAAATGTTTTTTTGAACAGAAAAGTCCCGATTATTTAACATTTTGCCCAAATGAACAAAAGGGAAATTGTCAGAAAAGTCACAATATTTTCGGAAAAGTTTCACTTTAGTCCCAAAAAGAAAAATTGAACAGAAAAGTCCCAATTATTTGATTTTACACGATAATATGTCATTTCCTGTTAAAAGAAAAAAAAAAGGACTTTTTTGTTAACTTTAGCCAAAATGAAATAATCGGGACTTTTATGTTCAAAATAAAATTTTAGGACTAAAGTGAAACTTTTTCCGAAAATATTAGGACTTTTCTGACAATTTCCCTTAACGAAAAAGTCATTTTTTTTAGTTTTAACAGGAAATGACAGATTATGTGATTTTCCCAAAATAATGAGACTTTTCTGTTCAATTTTTTTTTAGGACTTTATCAAAATTTTGGGTTTTATGCAGAAAAGTCTCATTATTTTGGGAAAATTTTCGATAAAGTCCTAAATAAAAAATTTTGAACAGAAAAGTCCCATTATTTTGGGAAAATCACATAATCTGTCATTTCCTGTTAAAACTAAAAAAAATGACTTTTTCGTTAATTTTGGGCAAAATGTTAAATAATCGGGAGTTTGGGACTTTTCTGTTCAAAAAAAAAATTAGGACATTATCAAAAAAATTTCCCAAAATAATAAGACTTTTCTGCATAAAACCTTTTTTTATTACACAATCATAATTTTTGGTGGGGTGAATAAAAAATATAAAGGATATTAGACAAGGGCAACAGAGTCTTTTTACATAGGTCAGGGACTATATCCGCAACAGAAATGGAACTTAAGGACAAATTTGGGAAGATTTCAAAATATGGACCAAACTTGCAAAATTTCATGTAAAGTCAGGTAAAAATAAGAAATAAAAAAAGGTTTAGATTGAGGACACTGAATGTGAAAATCTTAAAAAGTCACCTCAGAATCATCAATATCAGAAAGGGTATCTGTTTCATCAACAGAAGCAGCAGGGGCAGGATCATCTTTTTGGCTTTCAGAAGTCTCTTGAGTGTCTCCAACATTCTCCACTTTTCCAAGGCTGGGAGCTGATGTCATTAAGTCAAAGAAACAGATCACTACGAAAATTTAAAATTTTCTCATCTGTGTAAAAAGACATAAACGCCCTCCTCATCTTCATCATCAAAAACAGAAATGAAAACAAAAAGAAGAAAGAGAATACAACTAACTCACAAGCACATTGGGCCTCCTCTGTTAAGGAGCCTTTATCATTTTCATCCACAGATTGATTATTAGCTAATCTTTCCATTTCTGCCCTTTGAAAAGCTGGAGGCTCTGAACCATAAAGTCCACCACAAAACTCCAAATAACAATCTTTACAAAGCCCAAAACCTGATTGAACTGCATTGCTTTTATGCTGACAAACAACTTCTGTCAATCCAGGCATCTTTAACTCCTTAGAACTCTGTTTGCATGATTGCATTTCCTTCTCATACTCCTTTGCTTTATTAGTAAACTCATCAATCTATTTAAAAAAAAAAAGTTAAAAAATTACAAGATGATAAATTATGAAGATACAAGAAAACTCACAGATAAACTCCCAGCTTCTGTATTTTCAAACTCAATCAATCGCTTTTGCAATGTTGCTTCACATATATGCACAGTTTTAACCTGAAAATAATACAAGTATAAAGAAATGAGTTAGAAACTTTTCAATCATGAACTTGATAAGTAAATAATGTCACCCATAGTCTTATATTGACAAAAAAAAAAAAAAAAAAAAAGAGTAAATTACACGAATGGTCCCTATGGTTTTGGGTAATTTGCACGTTTGGTCCTTCACTTCTTTTTTTAACTCGGAAGGTCTCTACAGTTTGTTTTTGTTGCGTGTTTGGTCCCTGTCTTTACCTAAAAAGACTATTTTGCCCTTGATTTTTTAATTTATTTAAATAAACACACCCCAACCCCAACCCCATTTCCACCTTACCTTACATACCCCACTTTATTTAAATAAATTAAAGAGTAAATTACACGAATGGTCCCTATGGTTTGGGGTAATTTGCATGTTTGGTCCCTAACTTATTTTTTTCAAGCGGAAAGTCCCTACTGTTTGTTTTTGTTACGCGCTTGGTCCCTACTGTTTGTTTTTGTTACGCGTTTGGTCCATGTTTTACCTAAAAAGACTATTATTTAAATAGGGAAAAATGATGGGGTAGGTAAGGTAAGGTGAGAGGGTGGGGTTGGGGGTGTGTTTATTTAAATAAATGAAAAAATCAAGGGCAAAATAGTCTTTTTAGGTAAAGACAGGGACCAAACGCGTAACAAAAACAAACATTAGGGACCTTCCGAGTTAAAAAAATAAGTTAGGGACCAAACGCGCAAATTACCCTAAACCATAGGGACCATTCGTGTAATTTACTGTAAATTAAAAAATCAAGGGCAAAATAGTCTTTTTAGGTAAGACAGAGACCAAACGCGCAACAAAAACAAATTGTAGGGACCTTCCGAGTTAAAAAAGTAAGTTAAGGACCAAAGGTGCAAATTACCCAAAACCATAGGGATCATTCGTGTAATTTACTCAAAAAAAAAAGTAATTAAATTGTATATGCAAGTTTACTATTGACATAGTTTTAGATATAAGTCATACGTACAACATCTGCTCTTGAAAAATTATGCCCATGTAATACAGAAGACACGTATATAGCTGCTGCACATATCCCACTAGGTTTTCTCCCTGTCTGTAAAATATACAAAATATAAAAATAAGTTTATGTACAAAATATAAAAATAATAATAGTATTCAATAAAGTTTTAGAAAAGGTAAAAAAAACAAACAAACCTGAATCCAGTCTCTTTTCATGCTAACTGCAAGGTGTAATGCAGTGTTCAAAACTTGCTTACTTCCATCTCCTTTAATTAGTCCTATAATATTAATTGCAAACATGAACATAAAAAGTTTTGGAATTTCTTAAGAGATAAATATATGAGAATTAAGTCTTACCACTTGTATATCTATGCATAAAAAGACTAGGGTCAACTGGTTTTTGAACAAAAGGATGATCTTGGAGGCTTAACAATTTGCAAAGTAGTAAATAAACAGTTCCCAATTCATACCTAAAAAAAGAAATGATAAATTACAATTTACAATTTACAATTTACAACAACTTCAGATTAATTTGAAATAAGATTTAACAGATATTAAATAGTTGAAAGGAAGATGTGATATGATCTCTTACACACTAACACCCAATTCACTGGAAAATTCAATAAGCAGAAATGGTTTCTCTTTTTCCCTGTTTATTATAAAACATATTAACAACCATTGTAAGATTAACACAACCATATTTTGTATATATATATATATATATATATATATATGATTTAAAGATTATAAAAAGTAAAAAGTAAAAAGTAAAAACCACTGACCTACAGGCAACATAAAGGCAAGCAGCTGCAACTTGATTTGTTCTACGCCCTCTTGTAAAACCACGTTCAACAGCTATCTACAATTTATAAAGTAATCATAAAAAATAAGCTATATTAAAGATTCAAGTGAGAAATATATTGAAATTTGAAGCACAAACCTCATAATATTTGGTGGCATGTGTGACATTGCTAATCCCATATTTGTCTATCAGCTCATATATTATCACATTCCCTGAAAAAAATTGTTGCAATTTCTTTGTGATTGAATATGGATGGATTATGACACAATATAGAATCATAGTGTACCTTTCTCCAAGGTTCTTCTGTGTGACTCTGAACAAGCACTTCCCATTTTGACAAGGTTTCCTGCAAGATGAGCCTGCAATTATGCATACAAGTCATTGTCATGATACTAAAATTGTTAAATTGTATAAAGTTTCTGTAAATTAGGTCACAAAACTTACCCCTCCTCCTGCATCTTTAACAAAAGTGACATCTTCTGTGTATAGATCTTGAGATACTACTTTCCCACAATCAACACAACATCTGAACGTAAAACAACAGAATGAGGGCACTGAGTGAAATGATAATGGTGATTTATAGCATAAACCTTGTAGTGTAAGTTATGGATAGAAAGTGAAGAGAAATATGTGTCAAAAAGACTTACACGCTTCCTGTGGTATAATCACGATGTGTCTCACTGTTTTTTGCACAATGAGGACACCAAGTCATCTCTTTCCCTTAGGAAGTATCTGTTACTAACACAAAAATGAATGATTAATAGGCCATATTTGATCCCACATAGTTAATTATGTACTAAGTTGTACACTCAAAATTACAGGAACTTTAAAATCATATCAAGATACATAACATATATAATTGCAGATGCACTTAAAAAAATCTGATACAGAACAGAGAAAGTGTAGAATGTATGTATACGTACAGATGTTTGTAACTAGCAAATTATTGAAACTGGAACTTTGGTTTAACTGTACAGATTTTTCGAGATTATGTATCAGAAAAATAGTGCAGCCCAAATTCGAGCTATGTAGCTGTATAGAACTGATGCTCTGTAGTTGTATAGAACCAATTTCGATATTTTTTTAAGGTTTTTATTAGAAACAAATTGGCAAACATTAATGCTCTTTAGATGTACATAAAAAACTCAATGGTTTATCACGAAAAGGAAAATTTTGGCTGACCTCGAGGTTGTGTAGTCTTCAATTTCGAGCTCCTGTTTATCCTTGATCGATTTCTTGACTGCCTAACCTTGATGCTCCTTTTCTTTATACAGAAAACCCGAACTTCGTTCTTGAATTTGAAGCTTATGGCGTTTGAAATTATGCCCTGCGATGGTTTTCTTGGGTTGAAGGGAGGAATCAGTTTTAGGGTTTACAGTTTCAAAGAATAGACTTTTATGGCCACTTTTGCAATTCTATTCTTTTAAACTAAAATTAAATTATATAAAAAATAATCAAGTTGGCGCATATTGGTTGTTCCGGACTTTTGAATCTTCTGAAACATCTATCCATGCGCGCACGAGCAAACACGACTTTTTACTCCCTTGTCAAATTCTAATAAAGTGTCTTTCCTTTTCTCTTGGTTCCGGTTGAGGTTGAATCTCTACGTGCTTCAATTTCGGATTGAGAGTGAGTTTGGAATTGGCTTTGGGTTTGAGATTGGAATTGAGAGTCGGGAAGATTGTCAAATGAGTTGAAGTCATTTTCTGGTTGGGAATGCACTTGAGATTGAAACTGGAACTAGGGTTGGGATTGAGATTGAGATTGGAATTGAGATTGTGATTGAATAGGATATAGAGTGTAGTATGCACCGAGATAACGGTAACTATGATGTGAATAAATAGGGCAATCAATTTGATTTTGGAAGAAAGTAGGTGATGAATGGTTTGAAGTGGTTGTGTTATGGGTATTTTTCTTGTTTCTTCTTTGGAGTTTTTGGGTTAGTGGGGAATTAGAGGAAGCCATATTTTCAACAAAATAAGGAGAGTGTTTGAGTGAAAAATTAACGGTTGTTGTGTGTTATAAAAATAGATTGTTGTTGGTATTTATAATGGTTGAAAAGGTATATTTTTGAAAAAAAAAAAGGCATAAAATTTGAAGTTCCAAAATGAAGTCTCTTTCTTAGTCATCAGAACAAACCTATAACACCTGTTATCATGTAGCACCTGGTTCCTGGTATGTATTTTTTATTTAAGAGTTTTGCATTTTGGCCTGGGACTCGGCGAGTTGGTGGCCCAACTCGTCGAGTAGAACCGGTTTAGACTCAGGGTTTAAATGGTGGACTCGTCGAGTCGGCGGTCAGACTTGGCGAGTAGACTCTGACTGGACAAAACCCTAATTTAAGGGTTTGCACCCTATTTAAACATCTCATTCAGCCACCCTTCGTCCCATTTGCTCCCAGAAGACCCCCCATAACAAACCCTAATCGTGTGAGTGAAGATCTAAGGCTTTTGAGTGATTTTGGTGCTTTTGTGATCTAAGAAAGGAAGGAAAAGCTTGAAGAAACAAGAAGATGCTAGAGGGATCCGAGTTTGAGCATCTTCCACAGTCCATTTGAGGTATAAAGCTTATACCTTGCTCATTATTATCATAGATCTATTCTTGAAGGAAGTTAGGGCTTCTAAGAGCCATTTTGGCAACCAACCATGATTGCAAGCATGGTTGGGGGCTAGGGTTTCGGATTCAGGGTTCTTGAAGGACCCTAAGGCAGAAAGCAACTGTTTTAGAACCCATGGAAAGCCTCATGCATGTTGGGAGTCCCTTTTTGAGCCATTTGGGCTCATTCTTCCATGCATGCACGTAAAGTTTGTAACTTTACGTGCTAGAACGAGTTTAGGGACCTAGATCCACCTTTTGATCAAGGGTTGTACGCCAGAAATCGAAGAAATGGACTTGGATAGTATAGACTTGACGAGTCGTTCTTGGGACTCGGCGAGTCGGTGCGCTTTCGACCACCCCAAACCCTTCTGTGATGGTCAGTTGTTAGAGAAGGGAGTCCCATAGCTGTTTAGACGTGTTGGGAGACCTGGAGTTCATGGGACTCGACGAGTGCTAGAACAGACTCGGCGAGTCCAAGGCAATCTCCCAATATTTGAAGATGAACTCGACGAGTTGTTCATACAACTCGGCGAGTCAAGGCAGAACTAGTTCATCTGATGAAGGTGAACTCAACTAGTTGTTCATACAACTCGTCGAGTCGGATGAAGGACCATTCGATGTTCGTATAGGAGGGAACTCGTCGAGTCATCGCCAAACTCGACGAGTAGAGGCGTGGATTGAGGACAGTTGAAAGGACAGGGACTCGACGAGTTGGCGGCCTAACTCGGCGAGTCAGGTCAACTGGAAGTTGACTTTGACTTCGGCTTTGACTTGGTCAGGGGTAAAATAGTCATCTTACCCTAAGAGTAGTTATCAGACTCTGATTGAGTGTTTTGTGGGATTTATAGCCGGAGGATTTCCAGAGCAGAAGCAGCAGACAGAGAGTTCCCGCACAGATCAGCAACTACTACTACGAGGTGAGTTACCTTCCAGTAGGGGTGGGTCTACGGCCACAATGTCGGCCCACCAACAGGGGTAATTGGTAGATGATTGCCTTTGTGATAATTATCTTGGTATGTGTAACATCCCAAAAATACGACCTAAAATTTTATGTTTAAATATTACTAAAAACCATCTCATCAAATGTCATACATACTAAGAACCATAAAATGAGTAACTCAAAAGTCATGTGACTGTGTCAAAACAAATACTGTGTCAATCATATCATAATATCTGAATAAAACTCCCAGGATAAAACTGAGACTGTGGTGTGTGTCATGCCATCATCCCGAGCTCTTCCCTTTACTTGCGGAAGTACCTGAAACCAAAACTGAAAACTGTAAGCACGAAGCTTAGTGAGCTCCCCCAAACTACCGCATACCATACAAAAGTATAAGCACATACTGGGCCTTGCCCACTGCATCGGACCGAGGTCCGGACTAACTGCATCGGACCGAAGTCCGGAACTAACCAGGGTCTTGCCCTCTGTATCGGACCGAAGTCCGGAAACTGCATCGGACCTAACCAGGGCCTTGCCCTCTGCATCGGACCGAAGTCCGAAACTAACCAGGGCCTTGCCCTCTGCATCGGACCGAAGTCCGGAAACTGCATCGGACCGAAGTCCGGAACTAACCAGGGCCTTGCCCTCTGCATCGGACCGAAGTCCGGAAACTGCATCGGACCGAAGTCCGGAACTAACCAGGGCCTTGCCCTCTGCATCGGACCGAAGTCCGGAAACTGCATCGGACCGAAGTCCGAAACTAACTGAACATAGCATAGCATAATCACAACTACTGGCATAAACACATATACTGCATACTGCATCGGACCGAAGTCCGGAATACATAACACAAAATCATGCTTGAATCACAAAGACATCAAGCACACTGAACTACTGCATCAGACCAAAGTCTGGAACTACTGCTAACTAAACGGGTCGGCATTGTGGTCGTAGACCCGTTCCTACTGGAAGGTAACTCACCTCGTGATGCTGACGGCTGAACTCCTGAATGAGAAATCCCTGACTGCTGCTCCGGCTGCTTCTCGACTATCAAAGGTAATAAAATACTAAATCAGAATAGGGATTCTCCTATGGGTAAAATGACCATTCTACCCCTGCTATGGCATGGGTCACAACATGGCCCAAACCCTCAATTCCTTCCAAGTCCATCCTTGGCCCCATTATAGGCCCACTAATGGCCCAATTTGCTATATTGGGGCCAAAGCCCTTTATTGGTCCTTACTCAAGTCCAATACTAAATCTTTGGTCCTTAGCAACTGAATTCTGATGGACCATTAAGGCCCAAGGACCCTAAGTCTGAAACTCAGCCCACACCGAGGCCCAAAACACTCGAAGCCCAAACTGGCAGCGTACGCGGGGCGTACACCATACGCTGAGCGTACTGGCTGCTGGCTTGTACGCGGCGCGTACCTCCTTGTACGCCCAACGTACAGCCCTGTTAAGCCAAAATCTCATAAAGTGCTTGATAATCCGATCCAGAAGCTACAAATCCAGATCCTAAGCTTGTTCCACGTCTTAAGCCATAAAGTTGCTTACTTGATGGCTTACAAGTCTCATAAAGGCTCAAACTTCCATAAATAACATTCTACTTCCATGGAGCTAACTAGATCTCATGCATGGTTCCATATAAGCCACAAAGATTGCAACTTTATTGCTAGGAAGATGTTTCTGAGCCTTAAGGATGGCAATCCAAACTCCAAAACCGACTTACAAGATCAAGACTCAACCTTTGGACTAAAAAGGTCCAAACTTCCATAACCTAGATCTAGAAGGAAAGAGGAAGAAAGTTCAGAACTTTATACCTTCCTTTGCTGACCAAGAGGGTGCTAAGTCCAGATCCCTGAGCTCAAGCTTCTTCTCCAACTTCTTCCCTTCCTTCTACACTACTTCCTTTCCTTAAAACACTCACAAAAGCTTCTTCACACACAAAGAGAGGATAAGAACGAATTAGGGTTTTTCTTGAGAGTGAGGAGGCTGATGGGAAAACAGGGAAGGAGGCTATAATGGGGTTTATATAGCCTTAAACCCCTAAAATTAGGGTTTTCCCCTGGCCGCGTACGCTGGGCGTACCATAGGGTACGCTGCGCGTACGCTTCTCCTCCCCGCGTTTCATTTAATCGCTACGCCCAGCGTACAACGGGTTTACGCCCCGCGTACGGCTTATGGGCAGACTATGGCTCGGCCCAAAACAAAGAGGCCCAATCCCATGTACAATTCTATTATAGCCCAACATAAAACTTGAGAATCTAAATAAATTTATACCTCGGAAGAGGATCGTTACAAATCTCCCCCACTTGAATCAGACTTCGTCCTCGAAGTCTGTTGCTACTGAATCTGAAAACAATTTCGGGTAATGCTCAAACATCTCCTCCTCAGATTCCCACGTCCACTCTGAACCCTTTCGGTGCTGCCACTGCACCTTCACTAGCTGAACTACCTTGTTCCTCAAGGTCTTTGTCTTCCGGTCCAAAATCACGACCGGTCTCTCAATGTAATTCAGGCTGCTATCAACCTGAATGTCTTCCAAGGGTACAACCGCTGACTCGTCCACTAAACACTTCCGTAACTGGGAAACATGGAAGGTGTTGTGGATCTGGCTGAGCTCTGCCGGAAGATCCAACCGATAAGCAACACGACCCACCCGGGCCAAAACCCTAAAAGGACCGATGAACCTGGGGCCCAGCTTGCCCATCTTTCGGAATCTGATGACACCCTTCCAGGGTGATACCTTCAGGAGGACCATGTCACCCACCTGAAACTCCCAAGTCTGAACGCCTCCTGTCGGCGTAACTCTTCTGCCGACTCTGCGCAGTCTGCAGTCTACTAC